CACTTGCTCACGCATCTTCTCCAGCTGCTGCTTGAGCTGGCTCCGTTCCTGGGCCCGGCGGGAGCGGCCGTACCTGGTGCCCCCTTCTTCCAGGCCCCCATCACGGTACGAGCTGCTGATGCTGCACACAATGTTCTCTACCCGGGCCCGCTTGGCCCAGGCAAAGTCCTTGGCACCTTCTGAATCCAGACCCCTCTTCGCCGGGACCTCCCTGTCCCCCTGGGAAGACTCGCCCGAGTCACAGGCCTCTGCCAGCTTGGCCTTCACACTCCTGCGCAGCCATTGGGAAATGAGATCACTGTCAGGGTAAGGGCCTGCCATGTCACCACAGCCCCTAGGTTGGTTCTGGAGGCTTAGCTGGTAGGCGGGGCCCTCCAGCTGCTGCTCCTCTAGCCGCTCCAGCTTGAGATTGGTGCCGGAGAAGGACATCGTTGTTGGGAGTCTGCAAAAAAGATTGGACGCATGGGAGTTGGGGACCCTGCCATGCACCGTGCTCCCTCCTGCAGTACAGCGCCCCCAGTACTGCTCTGGGGCATTAGGGTCAACATTGAATACCAGGGGAGAGCCCCCCTACTGAGAACCTGCCCCACTCCCTGCAGCACAGCGCCCCCTAGCACCACACTAGGGCATTGGGATCACCACTGATGGTGAGGGGAGAGCGCCCCCTACTGACTCCCCCAATCTGCTCCTTCTTTGGCTTTTCTCAGTGGATCCCACTCTGCGTGGGGGGAGGAGGGGGAGGTCTGTCTCAACCCCAACCTAAGCATGGGGCAGAAGCAGGGAAGGGGTTAATACAGCTGGCTTGTGCAGAGATCCCAGCTGGTGGACCTTGGGCTGGCAGGTTGGGGGAGGGTACAGGGCCATTTAAGGGCTGTAGGCAGAGGTGCCAGTGGGGCAAAGGTTCCCCCACCCCCACAGCAAACTCGCCCCCTCCTCCCCCCATGGTCCCTGGCCAAAACAAACAGATCCCTGGCTGCTCCCTGAGAAGGCAGCTGGGAGACGCGTGTAGGCCTGATGCAAACCTAACAGCTCCCTGTTCTGCACCACACACAGTGCCCCCAACCCTCCACAACTCCCACATCCCCTGCTGAGATCCCTGTCCCCACATCCACCCAGGCCTGAGCCATGGCAGACCTCCCAGTTCCCACTCTGAGAGGGCCCTGTCCCCCTTCCAGCAGCACCCCTCCAGCCTTACCTCTGCTGAGATCCCCTCACTGCCCTAGGCTGTGGCAGGCCTCCCTGCTGAGATCCCTGCCCCCCATGCCTGGGCTATGACAGCCCCACCTTGACCCCCTCCAACCCCTCCAGTTGAGATCCCTGTTCCCCAGTGATCCCCCAGGCCTGGGCTAGGCAGCTCTCGCCTCAGGCCCCCCTCCCCGACTCCTACATGGCCAGGATGCTGCTCCCCATTTTGTTAACCTGACACAAGAGTGCAACCACCCCTCCTTGCTGCCCGCTCCCAAAACCCTTGGAACAACTACTAGGAATAGGCTGTGTCATGGGTAGAAAGCAGGAGGCTGGGGCAACGGGCACCTAACAACCCCCACAGTGTTGGCTGGAGGGGGGCAGCACCAGGATTCTGGGATCTGTGGCTCTCACTCTGGCTAAACTTTATGGTAAACAGACAAACCCTCTGCCTCCCTTCTGCCACCCGTGCCTCCCCCAAACCAGGCCCTGCCTCCCCCAGCATCCTCCATCTGTCTCCCCCAAGCCAGCCCCTGCATCCTCCCACCCAGACCCTGCTTCCTTTCAGCCCTCCTACATCCTCCACCCAGACCTTCCCTGCTCCCTTGTATTTCCCACCCCAGATTTCCCCTAACCCCCTGCCTCCAAGCCTCTTCCTGCACCCCCCATCCAGCCCCCTACAGACCTCCACCCAGAGCTTCCTACCCCCCAGTCCTCCATCCCCTCTGACTCCCCTAATCACCCCAATCCCCCAGCCCCTCTGCAACCCTGCTTCATCCCCTGCACCCCACCCCCAGACCTTCCCTGGCCCCAAACCCTGAGCATCACCTGACCCAGACTCTGCACCCAACTCCCAGCCTTCCCCTGCTCCCTGCATGCCAACCGTTATATTCCAATTCCAGCTTCTCCTCACCCATACCCTGCCTCCCCTCAACTCCCCCACCCTGCTCCTGAACCCCCATGCCCTCTGTTCCTCCCCTGCCCAGCATCTCTGGGGTGCCCTGAAAGTCCCCAGTTGACTCTGCCCCTTTTGCCCATGCTGGCACCTGAAGGCAGGTGCCAGGGGCAGATGATATTCTGACTCACCGCTTGGCAGGTGCCCACCCTGAGGAGAGCCCCTGAGCCCTGATCCCTGATGCCAGCTAGTCTCTGCCACACTGATTGACAGAGCCTGGAAGGACCTGGGTCATTCCTCTGGTGACATCACACCACGGGGACACAGCCCCACGTGGGGGGAGGGGAATGCCAGTAGCAGGGGAGGAGCTGAACCATGATTGGGCAGAGGGTTATCCCCTTGTCAATCCTGGGCCAGAGTGGGAGGAGGGACAAGCTGGACCCAGATGCCAAAAGGAAGAGCCAAGTCCTGGAGACCAGAAAGGGAGAAGGAAATGCTAGGAAATAAGTGAACACAGAAACCCACTCCCCTCCCAGAACTGAGGAGAGAACTCAGGAGTCCTGACTCCCAGCCCCCCTGCTCTAACCCATTACACCCCACTCCCTTCCTAGAGCTGGAGGGAGAACCCAGAGTCCTAACTCCAAGCTCCCACCCCTGACCCTGTCCCACCAGAACCCACTGCAGTTCCAGAGCTCGGATAGAACCCAAGAATCCTGAGTCCCAGCTGCCCCCGTCCCCAAACCCTTGGCTAAGTCAGGTGGCTACAATCCTCGCCTCCCAGCTGCCACTCTGGGGTGCTGTAAATCACACCATAAATACAACGGTACATCCCCTGGGGCAGCTGGCAGCTGGGGCAGCCTCGGAACAGGAAGGGACCTGCCAGAATCCAAGGGGACACAGAGTGAGAGTGTGTGTGTGTGTGTGGGGGGGGAGGTAAGGGGTCAGGATCAATGAGACCCAGGTGGGGTGGGGGAGAGGGAATCAACAGGGTCTGGGGGGTCCTAGATGGTTGGGATCTGTGGAGTCCCAGGAGGAGGGAAGGGGACAGGGAGAATTGCAACCTAAAACTGACATTTATGGGGCAGCTGTTCAAACAGACAACCCCCTCCCCTAAACACATGTATCCACTCACATTCAGACACCCTCCTCGTGCACAACCACACCCAGTGCTCACAGCCAGGTGTACCCACACCCCCTCACATAGGGCCCGCTATCCAGCTGCCCCCGCTCCCCACCTTGAATGGGGACAGAACCCAGGCTTCCTGCCTCCCAAGCCCTGCTGTTCCAACTATAAGACATCACTCCCATCCCTGTGGTGGGGACAGAACCCAGGAGTCGTGACTCCCATATTCCCAACCCTCAATGCTCCACCCTGCTCCCCTGCCCCCAGGGTCTTTAAGGGTCTCTCCCCCCCTCACCCCAGGGCTGGTGTAATGAGCTAACCCTGGGAGAAGCCTTTAGCCAACCCATCAGGAATGCGGGTGGGATTAGTCTGGGCCTGTGGCCGCCACAATAGCCACCCAGCCCCATACGGTGGGTGGCAGGCCAGGGCTTAGGCACAAGTGCTGTGTCTGCTCCTATATTCACGTCTCGATGCGTCCAAAGGATTTGTGCCCCCCCCGCGCCGCCTGGCCCATTCACTGCCTCCATTCAGCCCTTAATCTCCAGCCCCCACCCCGCGCCTCTTGTTTTCTGCTTGCTGGCATTATCAGGGCCTGTTTTCATGCCCCTTTGACACAGCCAGAGTTCCAGGGACCCACAGGGTCTTTGCACAGAGTTGCATGCCCCAGTGGAGGGAGTTGTTCCCCTGGGAGCAAGAGAGGAAAGTCTTGGCTCTTCCCAGTCCCTCTCCTCCCCTGGATCTGGGAATAGAAGTCCTGACTCCCAGCAGCCCCGCCGTAATCACTAAACTCCACTTTCCTGCCCATAAGGTCTTTAAGCATCTATTCTCCCCACCCACACACCCACCCTATATCTGCTCCCTGCCTGGGGCAATTCTGGAACGGGCACAGGGTGGCAAACTCCCTTGCACACTGGTATACAGATCCTCCTGATTCTCTGTGACCAGTGCCATAGATGGCCCATGGGACCAGAGACCTGCCAGCTCCTTTCATGTGTGAACACACAGTACCCATTGAGCCAGGCACTGTACAGACCCACAATGGGGATCAGAACCCTTGTCATGCTGAGTGCTGCAGACCCATGACTGAGACTGGGGCCCCTGTCGTTCTGAGTGCTGCACAATCCCCAGCTGGGACAGGGGTCTCCTTTGGGCCAGGCACTGCACAGACACAGAGTGAGAGAAGAACAGGAGTACTTGTGGCAACTTAGAACGAATTTATTTGAGCATAAGCTTTCGTGGGCTACAACCCACTTCATCGGATGCATAGAATGGAACATATATTGAGGAGCTATATATACACATAGAGAGAGCATGAAAAGGTGGGAGTTGTGACATCTCCTGCCCTGAAGAGTTTGCAGTCATGGACAAAGGCAGGATTATTCTTCCCATTTGTCAGACAGGCAACCTGACTCACCGAGTGGATGACCCACCCATGGAATTTGCAGCAGAGCCAGGAATTGAACCCCGCTGTCCTGAGTCCCAGGCCAGCAGCCTAGCCCCTGGAGCACCACCTTAAAGGGCAGACGTGACCCATCTGGATCATTGCGGAACACAGTCACCTGCTCTGATGATGGCAAAATTCCCCAGACTAATAAAAGCTCCAGATAAGCAGATGCATAAATCTCCTGGGAGAGACAGGCCCCTCATCCATTACCTGAGGATCTGTCACTTACCCCATCACACACATCACGGGCAGGAGTTTCCCAGGGGCTGGAAGGTCCCAGCTTATCAGTCCCAGCTGGGCCCCGTGAGAACGTGGGCCTCCAGTTCCTCTTGAGAGGCTGCTGCGTGTTTGCCTGAGTTGTTTTAAGATTTAATTGGACACCATAAAGGGGAGGGAGGGAGAGGCGCCTTGGAGGGAAATAAACACAGCCCAGATTCTCAGGCTGTCGGATTCTGAGTTATAGACACCCCCCACCCATCCTGGGGATACACAAGGGTGCCTGGGAATGGGACATGAGGTTTTTCCTATCTAGATGGTGCTAGCTAGCTCCAGTCTGGCCCCAGAGTGGGAAACTGGCTGGCTCAGGAGGCCTGGGAATAGGATAAAGCACCTTTCACCTCTAGGGGGCGCTGGCTCCCATCCAGCCCCAGGTGAGGGGGACTGGCTAGCTCAGAGGGGTAGGGAATGGGATATGGGTCCTTTCCTCTTAAGGGGATGTCAGCTAGGATCCAGCCACAGGGCAGGAAATGGAACATGGGGCCTTTCCCCTCTAAGGGGCACCAGCTCCAATCCAGTCCCAGGACAGGAGGCCTGGCTAGCTCAGGGGGGCTTGGGGATAGGATATGGGGCCTTTCCCCTATAGGAGGCCCTAGCTCAGATCTGCCTTACAGCAGATAGACTGGCTGGTTCAGGGGGGTGAGGAATGGGACACAAGCCTTTCCCCATCCTCATTATGGGGCGGTGGCTCTGATCCAGCCCCAGGGCAGGGGAACTCGCTGGCTCATGGGGGCGGGGAATGGGACAAAGGGCCTTTCCTCTCCAAAGGGAACCGGCTCTGATCTGGCCCCAGGCCAGGGAGCCCAGCGGGCTCCAGGGGGCAGGGAGTGGGAAACAGGAAACAGTGGGAAACCCCTTTTCTGTCTAAGCACACCCTCCTCATGTCTCTGGCCTTCAGCCTTTGCCTCTCTCGGGGAGGAATCTTGTGATTCTCCTACTCTTGGCCTGGGTGCTGGGTTACAGCTGGGCCTGCTGGGTTCAGGCACCGGCAGATCTTCCCTCTGGGAGCCTGTGACTAGTGGGTTACAGCCACCCCTGAGAGCCTTTGTCAAACCCAGGTATCGATTACTGAACCACAGGAACAAAGGAAAACATTCTATCCCAACCAACAGCCTAGGCGCGTGGCTCTCTTTCCTGGCATCTAACCATGCTTCTGGTGGGCATCCTGGCAGGGCGCACTGCCCCCACACAAGCAGGCTTCGGGCTTCAGTCTCAAAAATCTGGGTCTCTTTAAACCCTCCCAAGACTTGGGATTCCCACCCTCCTCCCAGAGCTGGGGATAGAACCCAGGAGTCCTGGCTCCCCCCGCCTCTAAACCATTAGTCCCTACTCTACTCTACTCTACCCCCAGCCCTGAGGCCCCAGCAGGGAGCAAGAGCTCCTCCAGTCCTGGGGCTGCAGCCGGGGTCAGGAAGCTGGGTCTTCCCCTGCCCTGCCCAGCGCTGCTGCCGGAAAGCGGGATTGGGACACAGAGACTCCCTCACCACGCCCTGGTGTTTGTCTGCTGGGGGTGGGACTCCCCAATTGGCCGGGGCACATGGGCCCATTGGCTAATCCACCACTGCACAGACCCACAACCTCTTACAAGTCAACATTTATTGTAAAACTGACTTCTACTCCCTCCAGACACCCCAAAATTCCAGGGGCACTTTGGCCTGTATCCTACATCTCCCCCTATCTCCCGCCTGGGGCAGGGGACACTGGCTGCCATTCCATACAGCTCCCTGCCATGTGGATCGGGGACCCCAAACCATCACACCAAAGCTCAGACCCAAACCAACTCCCACAAACCCCAAGATCTGAGCCAGCTTCCTGAATCACAAACCCACGAGATGGGGGGGGGGGGAGGCAAATTATCCAGCACAAGGGGTCAAATGCAGGAAGCCGAGCCAATCAACACAGAAGGATCGCCCAGAGCCATCCAGTTGCACTAAGCACAAGTAAGTTACTCCCTTTAGCCCCCTTTTATGCAGGGGGAAAATGAGGCAAAGGGAGTGGCTTGGCGGAGGTGACACACAGAGAATCAGTGACCGAGCCACTAAGAGAACCCAGGAGTCCTGGCTCTCAGTCTCTTACTCTAAACCTGATTCCTTTTTCATTGCAAGGAGCAGAAGCCAGGAGCCCTCCCTCTCAGCCTTTCCTAGAGCCAGCAATAAAACCCATAAATCCTGACTCCCAGTCCAGCCAACTAGACCTCACTCCCCTCCCAGAGGCAGGGACAGGAACTCAGGAGTCCTGGCTCCCATCCTCACCCCCCAAGTCTCTCCAGACCATTAGCTACAGGTATCTTCGATGACCTCCAGCAGGGGGGCCTCCCCTCGTTTACTGTCCACTAGCAGCTGCGAGGGGCCGTGGACCAGCATGCCTGGGTCCCTGAAAGCTGCTTTCTGGAAGACCACGGCTCCATCCAGCACCGTGAGCCCATGATGGCGGCACAGCTCTGCCATCTCCTCAGGGCTGTCCACTGCCAGCAGCCGGGCGAGCCAGGTCAGAGGGCAGCGACAGTTCCTGGCACTAAAGCCGTGGCTAAAGGTGAGCAGTGCCAAGCGCCGGGCGGGGCCCAGGTGCCGATGGAGGGCGCAAATTGGCAGGTAGGGCAAGGCCTGCACCAGGCGGAAAAACCGTGCCCAGTTGCGCTCCAGGTAAGCCCAGTTGACAGCCAGCGCTGTGCGGAGTTCAGGGGAGGCCCGGACAGGGTCTGGGAGCTGCAGGACCTGGCGCAGAGCTTCCGGGAAGCCTAGGGTGGAAAAGGGGCAAATCAGAGCAGCGCCCCTTGCTGAGCCCCCCACGGCTGCTCCTTGCAGCACAGCACTCCCTGCTGAGCTCCCCCCCCACTCCCTGCAGCACAGGGCCCCTACTGAGATCCCCCATCCTGTTCCCTGCAGCACAGTGCCCCTCCCTGACTACATGCCTCTCTCCCTGTCATCTGGCTCCCTCTGAGCCCCTTGCACCATTCCCTGCAGTCCAGCACCCCCTACTGAGCCCTCTGTGCCATCCCATGCAGCACAATGCCCTCTTCTGAGCCCGCACTTCTCCCTGCAGCACAGCACCCCCTACTGAGCCACTGCTCCCTCTCTGCAGCCCAGCGTCACCCACTGATCTACCCACATTGCTCCCTCCTAGCACCGCACTGGGGTCAGCACTGACTGCCAGGGGAGAGTGCCCCTTATTGAGCCCCTGACCCTGGTCTCTGTGGCACAGTGCCCTCTACTGAGCCACCACGCTATTCCCTGCATCACAGTACCCCCTGCTGAGCAACACGGCCCACTCTCTGCAGCACAGTCCCTCCTACTGAGCAATGCATGCAGCACAGTGTGCCCTACTGAGCAACTCACCCTGCCCTATGCAGCACAACGCCCCCTACTGACCCCCTCCTACTCCCTGCAGCACACCACACACCTCCCCCCAATTCTGCCTGCAGCACAGCAACCTCTACTGACTCCCGCTCCTGCTTCCTGCAGCACAGCACCCCCTAGTGCTGCTCACCCAGGTTGTAGAGGAGGAAAAGGGCCTGGAAGGCCGGCTCCCCGTGATGACAGCTGTCCTGGTAGCAGCGCCGCAGCCAGCTGAAGCACTCCTGGAGCTGGGTGCGATGGAGGTGGGGGTCGAAGCGGGCAGGAGTTTCCTGGCACAGCTGGTAGCCGGCATGGAGCAGGTAGCCCAGTGATCGCTCCAGCAGGGCCACGCATGGAGCCCCTTGCAGCCGCTGCAGCGTGGCATCCTGGCGCACAGCACGCAACCGGTCGGAGATGAAAGCATGGACCTCAGCTGGGGGCAGGTCGGCTTGAGGCGCCACCTGGCCCAGCAGGTAGCGCACAGTGGCCAGCAGCACTGGGGCAGGGCGCAGCTCCTGGGGCCGGGGCAGCTCCTTGCCAGCAGCTGGACGGGAATACTCCTTCACCACGCGGGCAGGGTCACCCTGCCGCGTCCCCTCCCGCAGCTCCAGCCGGTGCAGGCGGCCCTGGCGCTCCCGCTGTGCCAGCTCACCCAGCGGGCACATCCCAGGGCATGTGCCCACTGGGAACTCATCTGCACCCCCCATTGGCCAGGCACCTGCAGCAGAGACAGAGAGTGAGAGGATCTGGGCGTGGGGGGAGGGGAGGTCGGGGGTTCCAGTAGTGTGTGGGGTGAGATGAGGAGAATCAGGTCCTCCCTGTGGGGACTCTGAGGAGGGGCAGGTCTGAGGTAAGGGCCCCTCCTTGTGGGGCCTGGTAGGTGGGTGATCTGAACTACGCCTCTGCTGGGTCCTAGGAGGAGACATGGGGGGTCAGGGCTGTCCCGGTGGGAGAACTTGACCAATCCCAGCAGCCCCCCCAAATTATATCCTCCTCCCCCCACAGACCTGCCCAATGCTAGGGATAAACTCCAGGACTCCTGACCCCTCAGCCCCCCTGCTCTCACCACTAGACACCACTCTCCTCCCCGCGCTGAGACTACAGCCCAGTCGCCCCTCCCCCCAACCGGGGAGCCTTCCCTGGGTCCCACAATGCCCTACGGTCTCGAACCCCCCCCTCCCCCCTGCTTGCAATTCCCCCACAGTGCACTGCGCCAGAGGCTGCTTCCTCCTTGCACAAGCAAACAGCCCGTCATCATCATGTCATCTCATCATCCAATCCGAGCTGTGTAGGGCTCGGGGCGGGGAATGCTGCTGTCTAGTCCGTTAGAAGGGGAGGCGGGCGGGCAGTCAGGACACCTGGGTTCTATCCCTGGCTCTCAGAGGGGTCTAGTGGCTTAGACCAGGGTGGCTGTGAGCCAGGACTCCTGGGTTCTAGTCCCAGCTCTCCCCTTGGCACTGGGAGGGAGTTCTTTTGCCCTCTTTGTGCCTCAGTTGTTTCCACCCAAGTTGGCAGCTGTGTGCCTTGTTTCCTTGCTGCTTGCAAAGTGCTTTGCAATTGTGAGCAGGGAAGGGAACTCCTGGATCTCCTGCCCCAGCCATCAGGGCAAGGGGACCACATCCCCTCTAGAAGAGGAACCTCGGAAGTACTATGCCAGGGGGCCCATTTAGCCTGGTATCCTATCTCCCAGAGCAGCCCGGCCCAGCTGCTTGAAAGGCAGGTGAAGGAGCCCTTCAGTAATGACATAAGTGGATCACAAGGGCAGATTCCTCCTGACCCCCATTAGTCAGGAACGAGCTCTTGCCCTGAAGGATGAGGGTTTCTGCTCTTTCCCAAAGCTTAGATGACATTTTAATCTTTGCTCTGGATGTTCTCGTTATTCAGATCAACATCCAATTCTAGTCTGAATCCCTCTAACTTGGCTTCAATGAGACCTTGTGGCAACGAGTCCCACAGGTTAACAGGGTGGAGACATTATACGATCAGACTCACACTCCCTCACTCTCTGACCAGAATTCACCCACAATTTCAGCCCCCAAGAAAGCCATAATTCCAGGTTGCAGCCACACACCAGGACACTGAAGAACCAGGGAGGTTTCTCTCTATTGACCCACAACCTCCACAGCCCAATTTTCTCAGACACATGAGGGATGGGAGATTTACAGGTAAAATACATTTAACACCAAGAATCAAGACTCCTCGGTTCTATTCCTGGCTTTGGGAGGGGACTGAGGACCAGTGGTTAGAGTAACAGGGTCAGGATTCCTGGGTTCTAGTCCCAGCTTTGGGAGCAGAGTGTGGTCTAAAGGGGGCTGGGAGTCAGGTTTGGGAATAGAGTGGGATCTAATGGATTGGGAGGAAGCCAGAGAATCAGGTCTCCTGGGTTTTATTCCAAGCTCTGGGAGCTGACTTGCCCAAGGTCAGACCCCATGTCTGTGACAGCACCAGGAATCCAATCCAGGTCTCTGAAGTCCCAGTCCTGGGGCCTTAACCATAAGACCTCATGGAAAGGCTCCATCTAATCCTTCTCTATGGTAGTCACAGTTGAGAGTCATCAGGAGGGGGACTGAACTCAGGCCCTTCAATGAAAGTAGCACAGGCCACTACCAGATAAGCCACAAGAGAAATGCCATTGTGTGGACCAGGTAAAACACAGAGAACCTGGGCTTTACCCAAGCAAGGCTGTGAGACAGAAAACCCTAAGGATTCCCCCAACAGTTAAGATTACAAATTAAAAATGCCCCCTGGGGTAAATAATTCACCCTCTTCTCTTCCTCTCCCAAAACAACATCCCCCCACCCAACATTTCCCCATCTTTGGGTGAGGCTCACCTGCTTCTCTGAACCAAAAGCTGTTTGGTGGGTAGCTAAAAGGATTCAAGATGGAGGATGGTGTATTTATAGATTAAGTCCCACCCATAGGCAGGATTTACCTGGGAGGGTGGGGCTAAGAGCTTTATATATAGATGAGAGCCACTAGGCTAGTTCTAGATTGACTGAGGAAGGAGAGTGGAGCTAGGGGGGGAGGGATAGCTCAGTGGTTTGAGCATTGGCCTGCTAAACCCAGGGTTGTGAGTTCAATCCTTGAGGGGGCCACTTAGGGATCTGGGGCAAAATCAGTACTTGGTCCTGCTAGTGAAGGCAGGGGGCTGGACTTGATGACCTTTCAAGGTCCCTTCCAGTTCTAGGAGACGGGATATCTCCATTAATTATAGTCAGGTGACAAATCTATATGACACCTTGGTGTGTGGGGATACAAAGAGTTCCTGGCATAGGAGGAAATGGTGAAGCCTGGTATGGTGGGAGGAGCAAAGGTGGCACATAAAGGCCCTGGTTTGGTTTGTGGGAAATGGAAGGCACACAGAATCCCTGGCATAGGGGAGAGGAGAATAGAGAACATGTACATATTCTGGTCTGGAGGAAAGGAAAGGAAAAGGGGGACACACAGAGCACTTGGGGTGGGGGGAGTCACTGAGTCCTCAAAATAGAGGGCTGTGACCCAAAGACCTCTCAATGCCAACTGGCAGAGGGTACAGTGATACATAGGGGCACAGAGTTCACCAAAAAGGTCATGCAAGGTCTCTACTAGAAGCCTGCGTCACACTGGTCACCAAAATAATTGTCAGATGGATGTATGGAAAACGTGAGGAGTTGTGGCTATGCTGAAAATTGTGTTCTCTCTGCCTTGTAGTTAAAGGCAGAGCACTCAAAGCTGTGTGGGAGGCAGCTATCTCTCTGGCAGGCCATTGTATGTGTCCCAGGAGAAGTCTGCCAACACACTGAGTTCAGTCTGGTATTTCTGGGGGTGCAGCAAGATGTCCTGGCATGCCACAATCTGTGAAGACAGGCTGCCAGCAGGCTTGAGCTTATGAAAGGGGGATCTCAGCCATGCTGGCGGAAAAGGACTTGGGGCAAGCCGTCCTGCAGGAGATGTGGCAACATCTTGTGAGTTAAATCTAGGCATGCAATGACTTTGTTTTCCATGTAACCGAGATTGTTTCCAATATTCTTCCTGTCCCTCATTTGAGTCTCTCTCCTCTGCTAATAAAGGTGGCTTATTTTCACTCTGACTGCCTAAGTGCTGGATGTTCAGCGGAGCAGGGAGCTAGAGGTGATTCTTGGAAGTTGCTGTGTGCTGCTCTTGCAGGCAAGGCAAAGCTGAGTGTGCCCAGCGGGTCGGGGCTAGGCACTCCAGGGCAACAAGTGTAGGAGCTGGAGGTCAGTGTGTGCCAAGGGCAGCCTGGAAGGCTGGGCTTGTGTTGCCAGAGGCGGGGGGCTGCTCTACAGCAGGCATAGACAAGACCCCCTCAGGCGAAGGGCAGGTGGCAGTGAGTGCCTTGCATCCCATGGGGGATAGGAGGGCAGCACACAAGGAACTGTGGGGGGAACAGAGGGCAAAGAGCCCCTGGTGTGTGCAATGTGCTTGGCTGACACAAGCTACACAACGTGAGCCCCTCTCCACTCGTTCCTGTTACCCAAGCAGCCTCCTGTCCATGCTGGTTTGTTATCGGCAGAAGCCTGCTACAGAATGGCCTGCAAGCCTTGTGGTTATAGATGCTGGGTTGTTATTGTAGGGTCTCTTGCAAGCACTGCGCTGACTAATTGTGCCTCTAGGAGAAAGCCTTGAGGGTTAAATCCTGACCCTGCTTTCATGGGGAACATGAGAGGGTCTAAGCCCCACAGGATTGATGCAGGGCCCCCTACTAAGGATGGAGCCCTGGCCACATGCTAGTCTCTGCCAATAGTCCCCTGGGGGCTCCAGTGCTGCTGGGAGAATGAGTCAGCAGCTTTCACCTCATGCTGCTGAGTGAATGGAGAGGACAGGTGGTTTCCATACGCAGCAGGAAAGCAGGGCCACGGGAGTTCTTCTGTATCCATTCCCCTCTCCTCCTTTCCTACTATAGGTTCCTCCACCCCTCTAGTGTGTTGGCCTTGTCACCCACTAGTGCCTGTAACACAGAGGGTAAAAGACCTGCTGCTGTCTGAAGGAAGAGCTTTACTCAGCTCATGTGGGAGAAGCCCAGCCCTTTGACCATTACATTCTCATGTTCAAGTCCCAGGACTCCTGTGGTCTATGCTCAGCTCTGAGAGGGGAGGGGAACTGGGAGTCAGGACACCTGGCTTCTACTCTATGCTCTGGGAGGGGAGTGAGGTCTAGAGAACTAGAACAAGAGGAAGCTAGGACTGCTGGATTCGATTTCCAGCTTTGCCACCAGTTTCCTATGACTTTGGGCAAGTCATAGTTCTCTGTGCCTCAGTTTCTGCAAAGTGGGGGTGTTGACCTCTCCCTCTTTGGGTGTGGGGGCTCCAGGGCTCATTCACCTTTGCAAAGAGCTGAAGCTTCCTGACTGATGACTATTCAAAGCACAAGCCAAAGGGCCAGAAGAAGAATCACCCACTGTCTGAAGAGGTGCTATAGACACAAACATCTTTAGTAGTGCGGAGAGATTTCCCCCCTTCACCATACAGCCCCGTGTTAAAGCAAACCATGGAGGCGCTGTGAGTGGTGTGTTTCTAGCCAGGGCCTGTAGTCCTGCTTCTGAGCCCAGTGAGGACATGAGGGAAAGGCTTTAGCTAAGTCACTGGTATGTGAATGTGTTGGCCCTAGAGCCCTTTGGAAAGGCAGTTTGGGGTTCAGAGCTCAACTCAGCCCCATGCCCTGGGGGCAGGGAGGGGACTTAGATCCTGGCTCATGGCTGGAGATGGGTCAGCTGGACCAGCTCTTCGGCCCGATGTAGATACTCGGCTGTCTTCTTCTTCACTGCTTCCCGGCGGGCAGGATCGGGGTCTCCTGGGTAGGGAGAGGAGAAATGAACAGATGTGCCCATGACTGTAAGCAATGAGCTGGCTCCCTGCACTGAGCTATGGTGCTAGCCGTCTCCTCCCTGCAGTGAAACGTATGACACTGAGGCCTTGTCTCTCCAGCTGCTAGCAAAACAGGGCAGGGTGACTGCTAGTGCTGCTTGAGGGCAGCTAATCCTTCAGTGCCTTTCCCCAATTCCTCCAGGTGCCTGTAAAGGATGGACAGGTTCTCCCCCAATTCACTAGAAAAGGATC